GGGGGGGGCGATGACAGTACCGTCCTCCAAGAGCAGCGTATAAAGGATGCTGGACTGACCGGCCGACGGGCCCCGGTCGCGCTCCTCCCGCTCCTCGCGCTCCTCTCGCTCCGACTCGGACTCGTCCCAGATGGTGTCGTTGGGGATCTTCTGTCGCGAGCACTCGATCCAGTAACCCGGCGTCGGCAGCAGGTTGTGCGGGTACTCGGAGCAAATCTCGTCTGCAAAAGAAAAGAAGAGGTTGAAGTGAAGGGCGTTTGGATTTTTGCTCATAGAGGCATCACATAAACACGTCGCCCGATCCTTACTCCGCCTCCGCCTTGCGCGATGCGGTGCTTAACAATATTTCCATTAACACTGCATCAAAATCAATTTATTCAAAGAGTTGGGGATTTTCCCAATCGCAAACATCGCAACAACAAACGAAAGTAGTGCAACCGTGTGACCTTTTCCACCTGCACCTGCATACAAACATTTCCGAATGCGATTGCGCCGGTCGTCGGGCGTGGTCGACGGGACGGGACGATGAGTGGACCGGCTGCCCGGAGAACGTCTCCTGTGCCTTCTCGCCTCAGCTTACGAGAGGGACACGAGGGGACGAACACCGGGCAGCCAGCGAGCACCCCCCGGCGAGAGGGCCAGGGCCACGCTGCAAGACCCACAAAGGTATAAAGAGGAATAGAAAAATAAGGGCGAGAATCCGCACTACTAGCGAGTGAAACGCGTCAAAATATTTAGGTACGAAGACCAAAGAAGGCACGACAGTGTGTGCGAGCAAATTAAGCGGCGTGAGTTTTCAGTAGGCAAGAGACTATACATAAACGCAAGCGACGCGGAAAAGCAATTTTGTCCGATTCAGTCGCGAAAGACAAACAGAGAGAACTGCACAACCCCTTCTCGTAAACCAATTCTTTCTTTCTCTTTCTCTTTTGCTCAGAGAAGCGTGTGTAGAGGGAGCATAGAGTCGAGTCCCTCGGTGCGTATGATGCTCGGGCCGCGCTCGCCGTTAGATCGAACACCAACCAGTCTGATCGAGCACGGCTCGGCGAGCGGTCTAACGGGGTCGAAGCCGGCGTCGCTAAGGCAGGTGCAGCAAGCGCCGTATCACAACGAGCACTCTACAGATAAAAGTGTCTGGCGACACGGGAAGGAGTGCGTTTTTAACAACCGCACCACATAACACAGAGTTTAAAACCAGTTCACCAGAATTTCACAACTCTCTCACGCGCTATTCAATGTGCGACTTTCGCCACCCGCATTTTTAAAGTGCGGGTAATGTGACACCTATTTTGATAGAAAGGTTTAGAGGGTTGGAGCGGAAGAGCATAATAAGTACTTATTTTGGTAATAAAAGTTTTCAAACCAACAAACCGCCCCCTTAAGGCTAAGAAAACGGACAAACCGCAATAACCTGAAGGACTAGGCGTTCACAACTGTCATGCAGCACTTCCTGGTTGGCCTGTTACTCATCCATGATGAAGCCCAGAGCAAAGTTAGCCAAACTGACATGGCACAAGAGACGGTATAGAAATACACTAAACTGTGCAACGACAAATGGGAAAAAGAAAAGGAAAGGAGGTGCTAAATGGTTAAACTCACCAGAGCAAGCCTGCGGGGGCAGCGGGAAGATGAGCGTGGTGGACGACTTGCGGCGGGCCACTGCACAGCCCAGGGACTGGGGCTTGAAACTGCGCAGCTGTTGCATGAAGTCCGAACACTCCATGAGGGCCACGTCGGCGAAATGCAGGTCGCACAGGATGTGGTTCTTGAAGCGGCGCGCGCGCTTCTGGTTCGGCCCCGTCAGGTTCAGGCCGCACGAGTTGCAGCGCAGGCACTCCTCGTGGTAGTGGTTGTTGTCGTAGAGGGGGGACGGATCTGGGGGGAGAGAGAGACAGAGAGACTCGTTGGGGGGGCTATCCCGCGCTCGGTGAGCTCAGCAGCCACTCCACTCCAACTCTCAGCCACACAGACCAGACTCTTTGATTTCGATGGTGTGATGATGTCGCACAAAACAAACAAAAAAAGCAAAATAAAAAATAAACACACACAGACGGGGACATCCTATCTGTGTCTTCCCAGAATAGATCCCACGCGAGGGAGCGGTGCGCTGTCACAGTAGTGCACAGTAGCACAGGATGGTAAGGAGCTCCCAGGTCCCAGGACGGTGAGGTCGCGGTGGTGTATGTCTGCTGTGTGCGAGAGGAAGAGAGAGAGCGAGAGAGAGAGAGAGAGAGAGAGAGAGAGAGAGAGAGAGAGAGAGAGGGGGGGGAGAGGGGAGGAGAAAGGGGTTAACGAGAGGGCAATTACAGCAAGGCGCGCCTCCGGATTGACGTCCCGTGTCACAATGGCAGCGAGAGCATAGTAGTGTCTGTCGGTGTGAGAGGCCCGTGTGTGACTGTGTGTGTGTGCGCGCGCGTTAGTTGTGAAAGAGCTGGCGGGGGGCGGGAGCGTAAGTTTGCGAACAAGCGGCAGAAGCAGCAGTGGCGGTGGCGGTGGCGGCGCCGCGCAACTTCGCGTCAAATCGACGTTGTTGACGTCGAAAAACGACAGCAACGCGGGGAGAGGGGCGGGGGTGGTGGGGTCTTCTGCCACACGACGTCGCTGCAGCCGCGCCCCGCCCCGCCCCCCTCGGCAATCCCTCCCGAGAGAAGCAGCTTGGTCCTCTATAGGTGTTGAGTGATTTGACGTGGCATGACCGGGCCAGAGGGGGATGGCCAGCAGCTCCACCACCACCGCTCACCGGTGGGATGCGACGGGAAGCAGGGGATCGATCCCCCCCACTGGGCACGCTGCAGCAGCAGCAGCCAAGCGGTATCGCCGCCCGGTGTGGGGCGCTGATGGATGGGCTCGAATTATTCACCCTTTTAGCGGGTCGAGGGGTAGGGGGTGGGGGGGTCATCGGTTGGAGTGCGGGCCACCGTGCTGGAGCACTGGCAGCGGCGACACCAGCAGGCGGCGGCGGCAGAGCGCCTGGCGGCCGCGAGGTAGGCCAAGTGCTCGACAGACGAGCCCGCGGGTTGCCTACCCGGGCGAGTGCAGGCGCTCTCCGCCGTCGATCTGCTGGGAGTATGAGCAGACGCCGCCGGCAACCCCGCGACTATAAATTCAAGAGTCCTGTTGAATTGTTTTAGAAAAAAATTGAAACATTACCCCAATCACCCCCCTAATTGTAAAACAAAAAATTAAAAAAAATACATTTTCAAACAAAATCCTAAAAAATAAAATCAGTAATACAAGAGAAAATGAAATCAGAAAATAAATCCCAAAAATACTTTTGAAAATGAAGTTCCTCTACCCGAGACTGGCAGGCCTAGCTCAGCGGCGTAGCGTGCGCGACGATGCCCGATGGGGCCGGGTGGGGCGGGGTGGGGCGGGGCGGCGATATAGATGACGAGTATGATTATTGTTCGGGAGTGCCCCTACCCCATGGGCGCGTAGTAAAGCGCCGTTGGGCACGCTCCAGGTCAGACGAACAACGACGCCATTGAGGTCATCAGTCAGCCGTCCTGACTGCG